GAGATTAGTAGCCTATCATGTCAGATTAGTAGCGTTTATAACAAATTAGTTGCCTATCATGACAGATTAGTAGCCTATCATGCTAGATTAGTAGCCTATCATGATAGATTAGTAGCCTATCATGATAGATTAGTAGCCTATCATGCTAGATTAGTAGCCTATCATGATAGATTAGTAGCCTATCATGCTAGATTAGTTGCCTATCATGATAGATTAGTAGCCTATCATGATAGATTAGTAGCCTATCATGCTAGATTAGTAGCCTATCATGATAGATTAGTAGCCTATCATGATAGATTAGTTGCCTATCATGATAGATTAGTAGCCTATCATGATAGATTAGTAGCCTATCATGAGAGATTAGTAGCCTATCATGTCAGATTAGTAGCGTTTATAACAAATTAGTTGCCTATCATGACAGATTAGTAGCCTATCATGCTAGATTAGTAGCCTATCATGCTAGATTAGTAGCCTATCATGATAGATTAGTAGCCTATCATGCTAGATTAGTAGCCTATCATGACATTAGTATAAAAGATTTGATAATTTAAACTAAATTCATAAATTCTATTAAAAAAAACAAGTAGAAATGTATTGTGGTGTGAGCTGTGCACATCTCATGCACCGCATATTGACGCTGTCGACCAAATCGTCAATATCCTGGCGCAATAGTGAAATTATATGCACCGTATAATTGACGCAGCCTAGCTCGGACTAATGAGAGAATCTGTCTAGGTTAATACGCGTGTGGTTGGACAAAACTGTTTCATGTTTAACGCAAGTTAGGAGTGTGCAGACGTTCTCAATGTGTCTGACCAGGACACATCTTTCCTCACTGATGGCGCCCGCTGTTTACATTTATTAGTTTACTCGAGCTCGTAAACTCTTTAATAAATGTAAACAAAGCCACCATGATGGAGGAAAGATGTAGAGGGTTTCTTCAGTGGTTGTGTAAATACCGGATGACTCCTGGCCCCCGGCTTGCTCCCGGGTTAAGTGCGTCGTGTTTACACTTGACACTTTTACACACTTATGTTTACAACACCAGTAAGTCAATGGTTCTTGGTCTATGCCGCCGGCAGGTAGTCACAGCTCGCTTGTTATTCTGCTGGAAGGGTTCTCACATGTGTCAAGTTTGGTTTGTTTGATCGTTGTGTGTTCTCTAACTTTACTGCTACCGCGACACACACCTGTTTATACCCTACCTTCACCACTATACACTCCTGTTTACACCCTACCTTCACTACCATACACTCCTGTTTACACCCTCAACACCATACACACCTGTTTACACCCTACCCTCACCATTATATACACTCCTGTTTACACCCTACCCTCACTACCATACACTCCTGTTTACACCCTACCCTCACCACTATACACTCCTGTTTACACCCTACCCTCACCATTATATACACCTGTTTACACCCTACCCTCACCACCATACACACCTGTTTACACCCTACCCTCACCACCATACACACCTGTTTACACCCTACCCTCACCACCATACACACCTGTTTACACCCTACCCTCACCACCATACACACCTGTTTACACCCTACCCTCACCACCCTACACACCTGTTTATACCCTACACACTCCTGTTTACAGTGTGACAAGGGACGAACAGTTAAAAGATGGCACCCAGTTAGGATTTGATCCGGGGCCAAACGCGCCACCAGGCTGTGCTTCAACTGCGCAACAACGGCTCCCTCTCGCTTATTAATAAACTATTATTATTATTATTGAGAAAATCGGCAGGAACCGTGGGCAGGATTCGAACCTGCAGACTTGGGTACTCCCAAGCACACGCCCTGGACCACTAGGCCGCAATATGCGCAAGTCATACACTGGGCTTCACCTCAGGCCTCTAAGGTTGCCCGGAGGCATCTTCTCATACCAACTCACAGTTTCACACATTACCCTCACACACTCCCGCCTGTGGTACACTTTTACCCCCAGTGGTCTTACATATCGTGACCTAAGGGTTTAGGGCTTGTGCTAAGGAGCACCCAGTGTGCAGGTTCGAATCCTCATCGCTCCTACTGATTTTCTCATTGATACATCACGTTAATGTGATTTGTTTCTGGAGTATTATTATTATCATGCGAGACACGGAAGGCTTCACACCGTCGGCCACACCGCGTGTCTGGCGTCGGCCTCGACACCAGCGTCTAAGACTTTAATATACACCGTAACAACCTCACTTCCTAGGAATTACCTGGTGTTAACTTTGGCACTCATTAAGGGAGGCCACTGTGGTACTCATTAAGGGAGGCTACTGTGGTACTCATTAACCGAGGCCACTGTGGTGCTCATTAACCGAGGCCACTGTGGTACTCATTAACCGAGGCCACTGTGGTACTCATTAACCGAGGCCACTGTGGTACTCATTAAGGGAGGCCACTGTGGTACTCATTAAGTGAGGCCACTGTGGTACTCATTAAGAGAGGCCACTGTGGTACTCATTAAGCGAAGCCACGGTAGCATTTACTAAGCACTAATCATGCATGCAACACGCTAAGCGAAGCCGCTGTAGTGTAGTGCAGAGACCGTTGCACTAAGCGAAGCAACTATGGCATGCACTTATTAACACCCTCGTTCCCACCATCTGACACCCGTCAAATATGAAGAGGTGTCTGCCTAGCCTCTAACATACCAACCAATATATCTCAACTAATCAACCTGACGCAGTGTTCGACAACGTCAAAATGTCAGTGGGAGAGTGCATGTGGTGTGTGGACAGGTTGCACACCGTGGCAGCTGCAATACTTACCAACAACAACACTTAACAACTCAGGTTGGGCGACTCAGAACCAATCAGCTGTGTTCCTTTCACCGTTGTCGATTGGCAACTGACCTGTCTCTCCACAGCGACAGCCCAGCACTAAAAGCCCCCCCTCACCCTCCCACAACTGGGGCTACAACCCCTCCCCCGCATTGTTGACGGAAACGTTCTCACCCAGGAGTCACTAAGTGATGTTTGGGGAAATGCCACACTATATATATTCGTATACCTCGAAGATCGACAACTCTCAGTCTATCTTATATCCTGCGACCTGAAGAGGGTCTTCACAAGTCACACTGAGGATGTAATTACCTAAGTGTAGTTACAGGATGAAAGCTATGCTCGTGGTGTCCCGTCTTCCCAGCACTCTTTGTCATATAATGCTTTGAAACTACTGACGGTCTTGGCCTCCACCACCTTCTCACCTAACTTGTTCCAACCGTCTACCACTCTGTTTGCGAAAGTGAATTTTCTTATATTTCTTCGGCATCTGTGTTTAGCTAGTTTAAATCTATGACCTCTTGTTCTTAAAGTTCCAGGTCTCAGGAAATCTTCCCTATCGATTTTATCAATTCCTGTTACTATTTTGTATGTAGTGTTCATATGCTTGTTAAGATATGGGCACCACACAACCGCTGCATATTCTAGCTTTGGCCTAACAAAAGTCGTAAACAATTTCTTTAGTATATCGCCATCCATGTATTTAAAAGCAATTCTGAAGATAGAAAGCGTGGCATAGGCTTCTCGCACAATATTCTTTATGTGGTCCTCAGGTGGACCTCTGTTTTTCTATCTAGAACCACCCCTAGATCTCTTTCTTTATCAGAATTCTTAAAAGATTTCTCACATAATATATAGGTTGTGTGGGGTCTATGTTCTCCTATTCCACATTCCATAACATGGCATTATTAACATTAAATTCCATTTGCCAAGTGGTGCTCCATATACTTATTTTGTCCAGGTCATCTTGAAGGGCATGACAATCATCTAAGTTTCTTATCCTTCCTATTATCTTAGCATCATCAACAAACATGTTCATATAATTCTGTATACCAACTGGTAGATCATTTATGTAGACAATAAACATCACTGGTGCAAGAACTGAACCCTGTGGTACTCCACTTGTGATATTTCCCCAGTCCGATACATTGCCTCTGATCACAGCCCTCATTTTTCTATCAGTCAGAAAATTGTTAAACCATGTTAGAAGCTTACCTGTCACCCCTCCAATATTTTCCAGTTTTCAGAACAACCTCATATGTAGAACTCTGTCGAAAGCCTTTTTTAGGTCCAGATAGATACAGTCAACCCAACCATCTCTTTCCTGTAATATCTCTGTTGCTCGATCATAGAAACTGAGTAAATTCGATACACAGGATCTTCCAGATCGAAAACCATACTGTCTGTCTGATATTATATCATTTCTCTCCAGGTGTTCTACCCATTTAGTTTTAATTATTTTTTCCAATATTTTGACTATTACACTTGTCAATGATACAGGTCTATAGTTAAGAGGGTACACCCTGCTTCCACTTTTGTAGATTAGAACTATGTTAGCCTTTTTCCACACATCAGTTACAACTCCTGTAAACAGGGATGCCTGAAAAATCAGTTGAAGTGGAATGCTGAGCTCAGATGCACATTCTCTCAGAACCCATGGTGAAACTCCATCTGGACCAACTGCTTTGTTCTTATTTAGCTCCTTGAGCATTTTTTCCACTTCGTCTCTAGACACCTCTATGTGCTCTATGTTGTTCTCTGGAATTCTTATTGTGTCTGGTTCCCTGAAGATTTAATTTTGTACAAACACACTTTGGAACTTTTCGTTTAATGTTTCACACATTTCCTTTTCATTTTCCGTGAATCTATTTCCCATTTTCAACCTCTGAATATTATCCTTTACCTGCAATTTGTTGTTTCTGAATTTATAGAATAGACCTGGTTCTGTTTTGCATTTGTCTGCAATCCCTTTTTCAAAATTTCTTTCTGCCTCTCTCCTCACTGCCGTGTAGTTGTTTCTCGCATCTTTGTATCGCTGGTATGTTTGGGGGTTTGGCCTCTTCCTGTATTGATTCCATTTTTGTGTCTTTTGGTCTCTGGCCCTCTCGCAATTTCTGTTGAACCAATTCTGTTTCCTAGTTCTGCATCTCTGTTTTGGTATAAATTTTTTATGCCTTTATCATATATTTCACAAAACTTGACATACATCTCATTCACTTCCTTGCCTAGGTGAGTCAGGCAGGTGAGTCCTGGAGGATGTGTCAGGCAGGTGAGTCCTGAAGGATGTGTCAGGCATGTGAGTCCTGGAGGATGTGTCAAGCATGTGAGTCCTGGAGGATGTGTCAGGCATGTGAGTCCTGGAGGATGTGTCAGGCAGGTGAGTCCTGGAGGATGTGTCAGGCAGGTGAGTCCTGAAGGATGTGTCAGGCATGTGAGTCCTGGAGGATGTGTCAAGCATGTGAGTCCTGGAGGATGTGTCAGGCAGGTGAGTCCTGGAGGATGTGTCAGGCATGTGAGTCCTGGAGGATGTGTCAAGCATGTGAGTCCTGGAGGATGTGTCAGGCAGGTGAGTCCTGGAGGATGTGTCAGGCATGTGAGTCCTGGAGGATGTGTCAAGCATGTGAGTCCTGGAGGATGTGTCAGGCAGGTGAGTCCTGAAGGATGTGTCGAGCATGTGAGTCCTGGAGGATGTGTCAGGCATGTGAGTCCTGGAGGATGTGTCAGGCAGGTGAGTCCTGGAGGATGTGTCAGGCAGGTGAGTCCTGGAGGATGTGTCAGGCATGTGAGTCCTGGAGGATGTGTCAGGCATGTGAATCCTGGAGGATGTGTCAAGCATGTGAGTCCTGGAGGATGTCAAGCATGTGAGTCCTGGAGGATGTGTCAGGCATGTGAGTCCTGGAGGATGTGTCAGGCATGTGAGTCCTGGAGGATGTGTCAGGCAGGTGAGTCCTGGAGGATGTGCCAAGCATGTAAGTCCTGGAGGATGTGTCAGGCATGTGAGTCCTGGAGGATGTGTCAGGCAGGTGAGTCCTGGAGGATGTGTCAGGCATGTGAGCCCTGGAGGATGTGTCAAGCATGTGAGTCCTGGAGGATGTGTCAGGCAGGTGAGTCCTGAAGGATGTGTCAGGCATGTGAGTCCTGAAGGATGTGTCAGGCATGTGAGTCCTGAAGGATGTGTCAGGCATGTGAGTCCTGGAGGATGTGTCAGGCAGGTGAGTCCTGGAGGATGTGTCAAGCAGGTGAGTCCTGGAGGATGTGTCAGGCATGTGAGTCCTGGAGGATGTGTCAGGCATGTGAATCCTGGAGGATGTGTCAAGCATGTGAGTCCTGGAGGATGTCAAGCATGTGAGTCCTGGAGGATGTGTCAGGCATGTGAGTCCTGGAGGATGTGTCAGGCATGTGAGTCCTGGAGGATGTGTCAGGCAGGTGAGTCCTGGAGGATGTGTCAGGCATGTGAGTCCTGGAGGATGTGTCAAGCATGTGAGTCCTGGAGGATGTGTCAGGCAGGTGAGTCCTGAAGGATGTGTCAGGCATGTGAGTCCTGAAGGATGTGTCAGACATGTGAGTCCTGGAGGATGTGTCAGGCAGGTAAGTCCTGAAGGATGTGTCAAGCATGGGTACATACCCACTGGGATCAAGAGCCTATTCAACGCCTAATCAGCGTCATCAACATTGAACAAACGGTGATTTAAGGTGGTATCAACGCGGGGCATGTAGTGGGGTACCTGGGTACGCAGGCACACGGGGGGCAATCACTGGGCGAACATCACCTTGGTTATGTGCAGAGATAGAACAGTGAGAGGAGATACACGCGCCGCTGCTGATGCACTCTGTCTGACCTTGCAACTCTCACCCCTCAGTTTATTCCAGTCCCAAGCAACAGTGTATATTAAGACCAGGCAGGCACTCTTGGTCACGTCTCTTCAAGGGGAACCTCATAATTATATATACACACACACATGTTATATAAATATATTAGATATATTTATAAATAAATATTTTCGTCATCTCCGTGGCCATTATATCTATGAGTGACATTGGTTCGACGTTGAATCAAAGTTATCAACGTTAATTTAACGCTGAGGGCGTTGATTCAGCGTGGAATTTGCGTTGCTTTTGGATATTGCGTCCACAGTGTCATCACTGAGAACGTTTATCCAACGTTGATTAATCGTCGATCCACCTTTAATTAAAGGTTGATCCAACGTTGATTCAAAGTTGAAACAACATTTAATTAAAGTTTGATTTAACATTGATTCAAGGTTGATTAAACGTTATTGGAGCGTGTTTAGCCCTCTTGGACGTATGTAAAATGTCTGGATTCATTCACGATTAGTCATGATTTAATTTAGAGTTCTCTGAAGGCGCAACAAATCTGACATTCACAACGAACATCAGTGGTGTAAAGGCTGAATGTTGGGTTTGATTACCATTTATCTCAAATGTAAATTATTTACAAGAGTTCAGATAAATGGCGGGCCCCACACCGCCGTCTCCTGCGGCCCCGTACTCGTTGACTCCTGGGGCAGCATACCTCACAAGACGGCCCAGGAGAGTCACTGTCTTTGGGGGGCAGCATACCTCACACGATGGCCCAGGAGAGTCACTGTCTCTGGGGGGCAGCATACCTCACAAGACGGCCCAGGAGTCACTGTCTCTGGGGGCAGCATACCTCACAAGATGGCCCAGGAGTCACTGTCTCTGGGGGGCAGCATACCTCACACGATGGCCCAGGAGAGTCACTGTCTCTGGGGGGCAGCATACCTCACACGATGGCCCAGGAGAGTCACTGTCTCTGGGGGGCAGTGTAACACTGTAAAAGTGTTTGGTTTAGTTTAATACATACATAGAGTACATGAGTCACAGACAAGGATCTGAGAGGCGCCAGTTTGTCGGCCTGAGATCTCACACCTCAAAGCGTTAATGACCTCAAGTGACCTGAGGTCAGATCATGAGAATTTCACCTTGCTTCCGCTAAGCTTATAATTGTAGTCTGGTAGCCCTCAAACATGCCGACGTTTAAGGAGTGGCTTGGTAGTGCCGGAGGCTATCTACTTGTGGGCGGAGTTAGTACTAGGGTCCCCAATATATACTGAGGGAGCATAGAGCATTGGAGGATTAACAAGACAGAAGACCAGGCAGCAGAGCAGCCGAGACAGGCTGTCGGTCGGACGGGGGTGAAGCTGCCTGACAGCTGCAGACTCCCCCCCCCCCCCCTCTCTATTCAACTTAGACTCAGTCCTCGGTGAGTGAACATTAAGGTGACTTGTCGTGTTTTACAAGTGTTGTGTGATCAGGGGCAGTCAGTTGTAGTGCTCTCAGATTCTTGGAGGATGATTCACTTTGCATATTAAACTGGAACATTTTAATTGAATTGCTAAATTATGATACTTAGTATGTGAAATATATGAACTTATTATTTAAATCGTCTTTGTTCCCTAGAGCTTTGAGTTGAGGTGAGAAAGCCTCGGTGGTTACTAGATTCAAGATATTAATGAGTACATGTTTGGAGTTGATACATGGTACAGAGGGAACATACTAATAATGAACTCATGATAACATCTTTTGAGAATTTTGTGATACAGGCAAGTTCCATTCCTTGTCTTGTATGTAATGATCATGAATGGATGGTGGCAGCATTTCGTCTTCTACTATCTACTCTTCTACTTCTACTATCTACTCTTCTACATCTACCTATCTACACCTCTCCCTCCACCCCTCTCTGAACTCTCACTTTCAACTAATGACCCTCCTCGCTCCTCCCACCTCCCTACCTCTCACCCCAAACCCTCACTAATTACTTCACTATTCATTTCTTTCCTTTCGTTTTCTCTTATACGTTTGTGGCAATGATTCTGTATTCTAGAGTTCTCTCTAGAGTTTCGGGTAGCTGATCCAGTTACGGCGCCTTGTAGTCTTAGCACCTAGGTAGTCAAATACCTAGGTTACAAGGTGTTGAACGAGAGAGGCTGCCTTAGGAACTCTGGAGGTGCTCTAGAATAGTTAGCTAACTGGGGACGGGATAACGGACTAGAGAGAGCTGTTTCCCCCGGCCTCGTTAGTTAACTGGGGGGTGGAATCATGGACAAGATAGAGCTATTTCCCCCACCCCCCGTTACAATGGTGGCAGCGGTGGGATGGGGGAAATAGCTCTATCTTGTCCATTATTCCACCCCCCAGTTAACTAACGAGGCCGGGGGAAACAGCTCTCTCTATTCCGTTATCCCGTCCCCAGTTACCTAACTATTCTAGAGCACCTCCAGAGTTCCTAACATACCTCACAAGATGGTCCACGGACAACACAATATGGTCCAGAGACAACACAATATGGTCCAGGGACAACACAATATGGTCCAGGGACAACACAATATGGTCCAGAGACAACACAATATGGTCCAGGGACAACACAATATGGTCCAGGGACAACACAATATGGTCCAGGGACAACACAATATGGTCCAGGGACAACACAATATGGTCCAGGGACAACACAATATGGTCCAGGGACAACACAATATGGTCCAGGGACAACACAATATGGTCCAGAGACAACACAATATGGTCCAGGGACAACACAATATGGTCCAGGGACAACATAATATGGTCCAGGAACAACACAATATGGTCCAGGGACAACATAGCTCAGGGACAACACATCAGGGCACAATTAAGGGACAACCATTGGGACCACAACCACTGAGACCCACTTAACTGACCTGTGTTTTGTGCTTATTCAACCCGTTCTCTTGGTTTCCTTCCTTACAATACCTGGGGTTAGGGTAAGTAAGGGCACGTGAGGGAGGGAGGAGGAGGAGGGGCGGCCATCCTTGGCTCGCCTGCCAACCCTCTTCCTTCTGGCGCGCCAAGTCCTGCTCTCACAGCAAAAACAATGATATAAATAAATATCCAACTTCTGAGTTGTATATATGTATGTATGCATATTTTGATTTCATAAAATACAATTTTATTCAGTAGAGCGACACTAAATACAAGTGTAATTAAGAAGCAAACATTGAGAAGTGATTGAGTAGTAATAAGTAATAAGAAAAGTAAAGAAATATATAATATATCCCAGCCGCGTGTTTCCGGGATATACCGGGGACTGGTCAAGTCGTATACTGCAATTTCGGATACCGGGCTAGAAACAACTTCGTTCACTGAGAAGTTTGGGTGTGCCTCGTATCCCCTACAACAACAAGAAGTTCGAGAGCGATGAGGCCGCCTCCTACTAGCTTCAGGATGTCGTCGAATCTAAATCAACAATATACTACCGCCGCTACTTTCTCGGAAACGTAAGTACCTGCCGCTTTACTTCTCTCACCCTGCCTGGCCTGACCTGGCCTGACCTGACCTGGCCTAGCCAGACCTGACCAGACCTGACCTGGCCTAGCCTTACCTAGCCTAGTCTGACCTGGCCTAGTCTGACCTGACCTGGCCTAGCCTTACCTAGCCTAGTCTGACCTGGCCTAGTCTGACCTGACCTGGCCTAGCCTTACCCAACACTAATCACCACACGTGACAGCCCAAACGAATCGCAAATAAGTACACGTAACAAATCATATGCCCGGACACTCTTTCACCTTGGGGACTGAGTGGTAACTATTGTATAGAAGAGCCGGCTCCCTGAGAGTGTGGTAAGAGGGCGTGATAAGAGGCTAACGTGTGGTCTTGAAGGAAGTCGATAAAGCAGACAATTTTCAAAAGGAAGGGCAGCATAACGAGCAGACAGGAATGGACAGACAGTCGGTTATCATGTGTAATACGCCCCGCACAGCATGGGTGGAGTGGGGGGGGGGGGGTGTTGTAGCA